CAGATGAACTCTTGATTACCTAGAATGCTCAGGAACTGGAATGGTGATTATACCTTCTGTTGAACATTACTAAACATCTTAACCTACTTTTCTGATGTATCATAAAGCATCAGGGACATTCTCTGAATTTCAACTCAAATTGTGCTACCCATAACATCTAGCAATAAGTGCCTACTGATAACATATATCTCAGAAATTTGATAAATTACTGTCATTTATGACAATATCTAGTGGCTGATCCAAGAGCAAAGCCAATGCAAATTTTCTAGTACCTCTGCCAACACATATCATGAGCCTTGACATCATTCATAAACTTTACCTGGTAATTGCATATTTAAGAATTTAACTATAGGACTAATCAGAGATATGTACAAAAAATGCATACTTAAAGGATTGCCACATGTAGTTGTGAATAGTTAGAACATTTTTAGCCCTATACAAGATAGTTACTAGAGATCTGCTGTAGAACGTAGTCCCTGTAGTTAGCCACACAGTATTATGCACCAAAAAATTTGTTAAGAGAGAGCATCTCATGTTGTGTTCTTACAAAAGAACAACAACAGGCCTAGGATTTAGCTCAGGGGTTCCACCCCCTGCCTACAAAAGCAACAACAAAGCAAAACAAAACAAAAACCAAGAAACTTTTAGAGGTAATGAATATGCTAATTATCTTGATTGTAGTGCTAGTTTTATGGATATACATATGCACATATTCAAACTCATTAAATTATATGGATTATATGCAGGTTTTTTTGTATATCAGTTTTTGCGTATCAGTTTTGTATATCAGTTTTTGTATATCAATAATGCCCTATCTTCCTAAAAAACTACTCTCACTCAACATTAATTAGATATATTTTGATGAATCTATAAAATAGAATGCAAAGCAAACATTAAAATTCATATTTTTATAGAACTTGAGATCAAACCCAGAACCTTAGACATACTAAGCAAACACTCTACTACTGAGTTATACATCTAGCCCTCATATTTTTAAATATTTAATAACATAAAGGTAATTCTCATAATGAGATAAAAGGAACATATGAAGTAATATAGTCATCCTAAGCCAAATTTTATGGAATACATACACATGAATATATTCACATACATGTGAGTGTGGTATATAGACTATTTATGGTACATACATCAGATGTTAATAATGGTTATCTCTGGTGGGTAGGAATATTTTCCACCACCACCACCACCCCCGCTGGCCCCTAATCCTCCTCCTGGAGTAAGGACACCATCTTCTCCTGTCCTCAGATATTGAACTCCTAGTTCTCTGAACTTTGGACTGGAAATTATACCATCAGCTCCCCCTGGTTTTTGGACCTTTAGAGGTGGGCTACACTACACCACTGACTTTCCAGACTCTCCAGCTTCCAGACAGCTGGGACCTCTCAGCCTTCCTAGTCATGTGAGAGAAATCCCTTAGTAAATCTCTTCTTATATATGTATATACACTCATGTGACACACAATATCATTTCAGTCAGCAACAGACTGCATAAACAGTGGTGGTCCCTTAGGATTTTATCTCCTAGTGACAACCTGTGTGTCTTATTTTGGGTAAGTACACTCTACGATGTTTGCACAACAAAATGGTGTAATGATGCATTTCTCAGAATGTATCCCCATCATTAACTGACACATGATTATGTATCCTCTCATTCTCTTTCCCTGCAAAAATTCTGACTATTACACATACTTTATCAATGACATATAGTGAGCACTGCTATTTAGAATAGCAGTCATTGGTAGAAAATTGGAAATGGACACAGGAAGATAAAGAGGGGAAATCATAAAATAATATAAAAATAAAAGAGGAAAGGGTCATGCATCACTGATGCATGTATCACTGACGATGTGCTAAAACTGACCATGGCTAGGTCAACACTCGTTACATAGAGTTAAAAAACAAATGAAAAAACACTGTGGCACAAATGGCAAAAACACTGTGATTTCTTTTGGGACAAGCTGAGAAAAGCTTTAGACAGATAATAACTCTCTCCATGACCTGGGCCTCCTCTTTTGTTTCATTCTTAAAACGCTTTTCTCTGTTCCTTGACCACCTGACCCTTCCCCCACAAAACTTTCCCAGATATCACATCTATTTTTTCTATTCCTATTATTTCTTTTCCTATTTTGGCTACACTCTTCCTATTCTTAAGCTCTTCATAGTATATGCCACCATTTTATTATGTGAGTATTTATGACATTATCTTTTTTCCTGTCTCTCTCCCATGTGTTTTATTTACCATGTTCATCATCCCTAAGCCTAACAGTGTTTATCATGTACTAGGTGCTCAATTAATACTTAATTAATGAATGCAAATGTTGCAGAGCTTTTTAAAAAATACTTAAGATTTTTTGATACTACTTTCTTTAAGGGGTAGAAACTATGCTTCCTTCCTTTGAGTCTGATAGGCTTTGACTGCTTGAGCCAAGAGTGATAGAAGTGACACATAGGACTTTAAAGTCAAAGTGGTGATACACTTTCCTTCTAGCTATCATAGGACACTTGCTTTGGAGGAAACCACACATTGACTGGGGAGCCAAGTACTGGTGCTCTGGACAAGTCCCAGCTGAGCCTATTTACTGACCCATCCCTTCCAAAATAAAAAAATAAGGAAGAAAAGTTTGGTGATACCTTAGGTGCTCCACACACTAGGTGAATACCACCGAATGATTTAAGGTCCCATAACAAGGAACCAAAGAATTGCTCAGCTAATCCTGGCCAATTTTCTAATCTACTGAGTATATGAGCTAAACTTAAAAAGTGTTGTAAGCCTTACAAAGTTTGAGGGTAGTTGGGTTTGTGGCAATAACAACTACAACATTTAGGGTTAGTGAAGAGTAATATGAAGGATGCCTGAAAATTGAGAACACATGTATGTTAGGTGAACAATAAAGGAGGTTTGCACATATACAACACAGCTACATACATTGTGGTACAATTTTTTTAATTTCAAAGAAAAAAAGCCTACAACTACTCAGAGTTTCAGTCTGTTTTCTGCATTACGGGATGTTTATCATCTCTGGTTTACAAATACTAATTTTAGTATCTGTAGATAACTAGATTAGATACTTGCCCAGGGATTGTAAAAACACAAAAATATCTTCATATACAGTAAAACCTTGGACTGTAACATTCTGTGAGTGTTCCACGAGATGAGCGAACATTTCTAATGAATTTTAGGTTGATAAATGTATTTTCTTGTGATACAAGTAGTATGTAATGCTAAATGTCACATGAGCTCAAATGATCCAATGATTCTCTCTCTTGCTGAGGGATTGTGGGTGATCACTTCCTAATAGCAAGGGGTTACAGAGATCTCATCTGTAGAAAAGGAGCAAAAGATGGACGAATCTCTCACTTCAAATGAGATTAGGGAAATATGTAAAATGTGGGAAATAGTGCAAAATTTTATAGAAAAGGACACCCAAATAAGGTTTTAGCAGTATGAACGATGAATCTGTTTAATGACATTGCAATGTTACATTCCTGTGAAATCCTCAAAAGGAAGCAAAAGCAAGTGTCATTGGATAGGTTCCTTGTTAAAGTTGCATGAAAAGAAAAGATCCATTGAGCCAATAGCAGTGATTCTGTCAGTGATAGTAAAAGTCACCCTACACAATAAATAATAAATACTTACTTAAAAGTGAAATTCTGGAAGAAAAATTTATTTTATGAGTAAACTGGATTAATTACTTTAGTGAAAATTTTTAGTTAACTGCATAGGATTTAGAAACATTTAAACCATAGAGTAAGGGCAGAGAATTGCCTCCAGCATTCCTTCTCAGTTCTCCCGCAACCATTGGACTGTCCCTCCTCTGAATAAAAAATAACTAGAAATAGATATAGATATATGTTATTATGATGGCTTTTCAAGAAACCATGCAGCCATCACTCATTTCTAGAGAATCTACCAGCTCATCAGTGAAATCTTTAGTGACAGTGTGGTGCTGAACACTTGGTCAGTTGTCACTGCAGCTAGATTGCAGCTCTCAAGCTATAGGTCCTGTCCTTGCCAGTTCTTCAAAGAAAACTGGAAGCTGCACTTGGAAGCTGAAACTGTCTGAAGGTAGAAGTGGACATGGAGAAAATTACAGCTGAAATTGCAGAGGCCAAGGTGCTGGGGAAGTACATTAGTCTGCCACATTATCCCGTCACATATGCCATTGTCAGATATCCTGTCCCAACTATGCATATCAGTCGTCCTGCTAACTACGCCATGTCAGTCAAGGCCGATCCTCCCCAGAAGTACCTGGAGGGTGTCCATTTAGTCCATATAGTCCTTTGTGAGTGAGTTAATCAATTTCCCAATAAAGAACAAGATGCAGAGAGTTAATCGTCAGAATCAGGGCAGCATCAGACCATGAGAGCTGGAGCTGCAGCTCCAGAGCTCAAGAGCTGCATGTCTTTATTCCTTCACCAGAACAGCTACTAAAAGGGTTACAGTGCTCTTTTTTTCATAACAGTTATAGCGCCTTATCAGCTTACCAGGACATGGAAAGACAAAACACCTGCTGCATGACCTTGTCCATGCTGTGCATGTGTGGTTGACTATGTTAAGTCATTCTTAGATAACTGTGACCTGTTATATGCATCTCCCTGAGAGCAGAGCCGTGTTCTTAACTGTACTCAGGTGCACTCAGACACCCAGGCTTTGAGTATAATCAGAAGTGGTAACCCACAGGATTTTGTCTTTAATCCTTGTTCACCCTCTGGGTTGGGGATAAACTCATAGGCTGGTTTTCCACATTGGTTAAAAACAATACAAATGCATATACATACGATACTTTTGCTAAATCTACTTTTCTTGATTTAGCCTTAAATTTAGAGATTGGAAGAGTTGATTTTGCAATTGTTTATATTTCATTTTGTAATTTTTAATTTTTGTTAAGATACCCTATGTGGTTTAAATGTTTCTAAATCCTATGCAGTTAACTAAAAATTTTCACTAAAGTAATTAATCCAGTTTACTCATAAAATAAATTTGTTCCAGAATTTCACTTTTAATTTAAGTAAGTATTCAGAATGCACTTTTGTTTTTCTGTCTGGTTGGTATGGGGTGTCTCGTTTGTTTATTTTATGGGGTTTTCTTGGGGGGGGCACGAGGGATTGAACCAGAGCCCTTTCACTAACGAACATCCCAAGTCCTTTTCTTTTCTTTCTCTCCTCTTCCTCCTCCTTCTTCCTCCCCACCCCCCCCCACTTTCTCTCTCAACAGGACCTCCTGAGTCACTAAATTATCCAAGCTGGGCTTAAACTTGTGGTCCACTTGTCTCATCCTGCTGCAATGCTAGGATCACAAGTTTGTTCCTGGTCTGCATGCATTTTTCTACAAAACAAAAATAAAACGATCATATCCTACAGTGAGGTACACCAGTAGAAGTCTGTTTAAACTTCACTGTAACTGAAATGTGTACTCAATTTGACTTGATTTAAATACAAGTTTAAAAGTATTCTTCATGTCATGCTTGGAAGGACACTGAACCAGAAAAGAATGAGGCAGACGGACGTTCCTGTGAGGATGATAAAGGGAAATCACAGACACTCCAAGGGGTTCAGAGTTTATGGTACTGGTTTCTGATTTTATATTTTCCCTTTCATGGGTGAGGTCACACTCCATTTGTTAGTCATAACTCATTTTATTTTTGTAACATAGGAATAGAAACAAGAGAGAGAAAGAAAAGATCCCCTAAGATTAATTTAAGGTTGCTGGACAAAGTTGAGTACAGTGGAAAGATATGGTTGTATTTGTGCGAAAGCAGTTGTCTGAGGTAGTATTGACTGAGCAGTGAAAAATCAAGTGGTGAAGGAAACAGCATGCTTTTCACTGAGGATCAATGAAATCTTGATTCTTTCCTACCTAATTAGGTTTCTTTGCAAGAAGAATATGATATCCTCAATATCTGCAATCACTTTGCTGTGTCCTGTACTCCCTATTCATTTATTAAGGTTCAATTTCTTAGGGTTTTTTTCTTTTTTTTGCTTATTTCTTTCATTTTCACTGGAATCCTCTCTGAAGATCCTAAGGCAAGACAGCTAATGACTTCCTTGGTAAGAGAAGAAGGGTGGAAATATCCAAATCAGCTCTGTATTAAGACTCATCTGTCTCTTCATTTTCCCCACTTGTGTTTAATATTGCTTAAATTTACAACTGCATATATGAAAATATATACATCCCTATATAAGGATAACAGTTGCCACAAAAGATATCTCATTTTACTAACTACTATTTGAATGAATGACTAAATTTGAATGTTTAGTATACAAAAATACTTGGCAAATGCCTATCAATTTTTACTTAGTTTACTCTGAACAATTGCATGTAGCAGGCTATTTTCCCCCCTTAGGCATGCATTCTGCAGCCATTTCATTTTGACAAGCTTAGGTAAGGGTGGTTATTGGTAATTTTTTTAAATGGCTACAATTATTACTTCCCTGTATCTACTCTCTTTACAGCTCCTGCTACCACCAGAGTCTGATTCTTCATGATTTGAATCTTGGCAGCCTTGTACTCTGCTTTGGCCAGCAGAATGTGTGGAAGTGATTGTGGATCACAGCTGAGTCTCCTCCTTCCTCTAAAGAGCCCTGTAAGCTTCTGCTTTCAGTCTTGTAACTCTGACACTCCCCAAGGACAAGCACAGCTGAGTCTGTTGGAGGATGAGAGATCAAGTAGCAGAGTAAGGAGTGATGACAATCAAGGATTCAGTGATGTGAGAACTGAATCGAGATCAGCCTAACTGCTGAAGCCATTAGGTTTCTGTTTCTTTGCACATTTTATAATTTATATTTATAGGTAACGTCTTAGTTACTTTCTCATTTTTGGGACAAAATACTTGACACCCACAAGTTAAAGAAGGAAAGAATTATATTAGCTTACAGTTTGTCGAGGTTTCAGTCCATAATCAGCTGGCTCCAAGGCAGGGCAGCATGGCAGCGGACAAACAGTCCATTGCAGAGAAAGCAGAAAGCAGCAAGCAGTGAACTTTCCTTTCCTTTTTTCATTCCATTCAGGCTACAAACCTATTGGTTGGTGCCATCCACACCAGGATAGGCCTTCTCATTATCCATACCCAAAACTATGCTAAACTACTTAGAGGACTAATCCAATCATCACACCCATAATCTAGGTATTAAACACCTATGATCCAGCCATTTCCAAAGCTCCACCTATGAGCACATGAAGCTTTGAGGGGACATCTCAATATAAACCATAAAAGGTTATTTATTATCTATTCCCCCCTTACATTGTGAGCCCTGTGGAGTAAGGGACCATGTCTGTTCTGCTATGCCTAGTGTTCTCACAGATCTACCAAACATGGTTGGAGTACAACAAGTCTTTCTTAAGTAAATGGGTAAATGCTGAGAGTATTAAAAAGGCAAAGGAAGAAAATGAAAACCTCTAAAAAGCTCTATGCTTGGAAGACTAATAGTTTTGAAATATTAATATGCACACAGACCATCCAGAAGTATTGTTAAAATGCAGAGTCTGATTTAGAAGATATAAAGCAGAGTGAGATTCTGAACTTTTGTTCAAAGAAGCAGGTGGTGCTGCTGGTCCAAAGACACTTTGACTAGGAGGAAGTTAGACCACAATTCATTATGCTTGCCTTCAATGATATACTCTGACCTTTTAAACAGAGACACTTTTAGGAAAAGAAATACAAAGCTCATTTCTGACTTTGCTCTAACGTTTGCATTGAGCAAATTAAATATTAAATTATCTTAGTACTTCCTGTATTAATCTTGATGTGATAAACTAAGAAGTTTAAATCGGAGAATACTGAATCCTGAGAAATTTATGATTTTTCCTTTTTCACAAAGAAAACTCAGGGCTTGAGACTATATTCTTTTTTCATTCTGACCAACAAGACGTGAAAGCCAAATTTTTTGGCAGGAATATAACTTCATAAACTACAGACCAGTGTAATTGTGCTTTATAATCTGTCCAGGACTTTACTTCCATTTCTAACATATTTCACCATGTGCAGATTTCTCCTCTATTTATAACATTGATGTAAACAAATATTCATTGAAATGAAATTGAGCTAGAATTTCAGCAATTGGCAAATCTGAATATGCAGATATAAAAAGGTATTGAGAGAATATTGAGGGAATTGAGCTGATTAACATGGCTGTATCTGAAGACTGAATTGATTAGTTAAGACACTTCCTAATACCTTGCTATGATATGGGAGCAATGCCATCATGTTTTGTTTTTATAACACACTGGCAATGGAAACTAAAGTAATGAGGTGAGATACGAATGCCAAAGCAATACGGACAATAACATATGCTATACTTCAACCCTCAGCTGTTTTCTCCTATGAGATGATAAGCTTAGGCAGAACTAGAATACCTTATTTGTCTTGGTCTTCTTAGTTCCGAGACCTTCAATAGCTGGTACCCTGCAAATACTTAAAATATTTTAAGATATATTAATAAATGAAGTTGTTGGTAACAGAAAAAATAAAACTTCTCATCTCAACATCCTTACAGGCATAAATCTATATCTTCTGTTTTTATTTTCAGCTGTCTGTGTGCATAAATGTTTCTTTTCCAAATCAATGTATTTTAAAGGATTCCAATATTACTTTCTTTGTTAATGTGGCATAAAACTCTGATCTGTTTCTTTAATATGGTTTTCTAGGCCATTTATGATTAAATGTTCAATGAATCCTTGATCAATCAGAAAATATATATTTTCTGATCAAACATTACATTTGTTCCTCTTTTTTCACTTTTATTAGTATATGTTTGCAGTACATAATGATTATTGTCTTTGAGGAGTAAAACTGTGAATACAACTGTAAAAAATATTCCCTTTTTAAAGATGAAATCATAAGAAGCTCATGTAGTTTCTCTTTGATACAGATTTTTTTTTCAGTACTGGGGATCGAACCCAAGATCTTGTGCTTGCGAGGCAGGCGGCAGCACCACTGAGCTAAACCCTCAGCCCCTTTGACACACATTTTTGAATGGCATACAGTCCTTCAAAATTAAATGCTAACTCTATAAACTGAAAGAGAAATTTATGATTCATCCTAAACTAGAAAACTGAAACTAAACTTTACTGATTTGTTTCTGGTATGTTTATTTATTTCTGCCTTTTCTGCCTATGTTAGGCACCATGGAGAAATACAGACACACACACACACACATACTCTCACACACACACACACACAAACACACACACACACACCCTCCCCTGGTCCAAGCCAATAATAAATACACTAGGAGAGAGAGATTCAATTCAAATAGTCTTGACAATAGCCACAAAATAATGTAATATTCCATACAGTAAAGAAAGATGGCCACAGCTGATTGATATGATCACTGAATGACACATGAAGAAGGGAGCATTTTAGGTGGGTCATAAAATCAGCTTGTTTCAAACACTATCATGGCATTAGTCATATGGTACATTTAATTTGATAAAAATTAATTTAGGTGGTCATTTCTACGTGTTGTTACTATTGTCAAGGAACCTTGCTTGAATAGCTAAAGATCATACCCCACATTTCCCATTTTGATCCAGTTCTCTTGCCTCTGTGCTATGCACTACCTTTCAAATAATAAGGTATGGAGTATCCTATTACAGTTTACATTTTTCTACTTGCCAAATTTTATTTCCATAGAAAAATCAAATTAATGAAAATAAATCTCACATCTCTCATTTTTAAAAGCTGGCAGTAGATACACTTTCAAGCTGTTAGTGGACATCATTTAAAATTATAATAATTAACATTTTAACCCTTTAAGCAAGGAGCTCCACTAAGCACAGTCTAAATGCATCAGTTCACTTGATAATCACAACAGCTCTAGGAGGTAGGCATTATTATTATTAATTTATATTAGACAATAAAGAAGCTGAGGTCAGTATAATTCAGAACTTTCCCAAGATATATATACTGATATGTAAGAGTTGGGGCTTGAATATGTGCAAGAGCCTATCCCCTTAATTACTAAGCCACAGAGGCAAGAGACTAGAGAAACCCTATTAACTGACTCTGGTACTTTAAAAGTCTACTTTTTAAACAAATATAGATTATTATTTATTCAATAGTGCTGATTTACAAGTCAAAATAAACTACTGTGATTTATTCTTTGGTCGGGAAACATTTGCTAACCTGGAAGTCACTCGACGTTGATCTGCGTTCCGGAAACCACATGAAATAGTAGATGCTGAAAAGAGCTAGGGCCAAGTTGGGGAGGACAGGAAGTCTGGTGGTGGGAATGCCAGGACAGGACACAGACCCGGTCAGGAGAAGCGCGGGCACATTTTTCCGAGAAACTGCCTCCCACGGAGGGACAATAATCAGAGGCGGACCGGACCGGACTGCTAAATTGAGGCGGGGGAGACTTTGAGGAACCAGGAAGAACAGCAAGTACGTTCTGAACTCTTCGTGGATGACTCGAAATTCTCGATTTTTTCGAGGATATTCCTTCCTGCATACGTCTTCACAGTGTCCTTCGTCCCTATAAGGTTTTATCCCAGCTAATTGTCTAATAGTTGCAGGTCCTCGGTCCCCACCTCTGAATTAAACTTAGGCCCCGATGGACACCAGGATGCGGTGGGGAGAGGCCGGAGCCCCAGGCTTAGGGCTGGAGAACTTGTGGGAGGTGGTGAGGAGAGGATGCGAAGAGAGGAGGTGACTGGAGACTGTCTCCTCGTGCTGCACCGCAGGGACCTGACTGCTGGGATCTGGGAGGGGAGAAGGCCCGGACCTCAAGCCAGCAGGCCTGAGGCCAAAGAAGGAAGTGAGACTATCGCTTACCTGTGGGCATAGTTGAAGCTGGGCCTTGGAAATCAAAAATCAATCCCTGCTGCTCAGGAAAGAATATAACAAGCACTGAATCACCAGCTTGTCCTCTGGTTTACTGAGCAAAACTATATCCCCTGAAAGGGTCTGGCCATAGAAAATTGGAGGAGGGCTCAATTAAGACGCATAAAAATTAATTGGCTGGTTCGGCTAGGGTAACAAAAGGAATAACATGGAATGATAGCAAATGGAATATACTCTCCCCCAGTACTCTGGAATTGAGCCCAGGGCTCTCACAGCCCTTTTAATTTTTTATTTTGAGATAAGGTCTCTCTAAGTCCCCCGGGCTAGCCTTGCAGTCCTTTTGCCTCAACTTCCCAGAATGCTGATATTACAAGCTTGCGCCACCACACCCACCAGGCTGAGAATGGAATATTAGTGACGGATTTTGTTTGTTTGTTTTTGTGGGGCTAGGGTACTGACCCTGGGCCTTAGTCTTGCTTGGCAAACTGCTCTGCCACTGAGCTACAACCTCAACTTTTAATAATGGTTTTATAAGGGAAAAAATATGAGTCCTATAGGAAGAAATAGTCGGGAAAAAATCAAGTTCAAATTAAAATACATTTAGTTCAGGAGCCAGGTTTAGAGACAAACCTCTAGCAAAATACAAAAACAAAAACCTATTATTTAAAATGTTAGGGACTAAATAGAAAAAAAGTTGGGTTGGAGGGATTTTTCAGATTATAGTTCTGTTAGATAATAACAGTAACATTGAATAGTGATGATTTTTAATTTTGCTCCCCAAAGAATTTTACTGTATTTATCAAGGTAAGCAGTTACAATTATTTTATTTTTCTGCCATAAGGATCAAGTTTTAATTATTTAGGGGACTTTCCTGTATGCTGATACACAAGATAATAATTCAGTAAATTGAAAATACATAACTAAAATTCTTATTCTTCACTTCAAGTCAGCTGGCTGTTCCCAAAGGTTAATCTTGCTCAGAACTACAAGAGAATAGAAGTACATAGAGAAATACATAGAGATCATTTTAAGCACATTAATTTCTGTATGTCTTTTATTTACCAAACATGTACCAAACAAAATATGAAACCTAAGCAGAAAATATTTGTGGCACACTTAAACAAATATGTTTACCTTCTTAAATTGGCAATACTTTTTTTTGCTTTAGCCAATTTTTTTTTAATTCTTTTATTGGTACATTTTAGCTATACAACACATTTACATTTCTCATTGGGAACTTGTACCTTTACATGATGCACCTTGGTTCTTATTTTGGCAATACTTAAATGTAGAAGTCATGTCTCAGATTTAATAATGCATCAGATTTTAAGTTCAACCATGCAGATGGCAAAGAAATGAGTGTTAGACCTTGTCATGATTAGATTTTATAACATGGACAAATAATATCTATCTATGTGCATATCATTGCACTAATTTTGTTTAGAGAAAACTTGGCTGGGTGGGAGTGGAGAAGTCTTAATGCATTTGACCTTTGTTAATACCTGGTGTAACAAAAATTTTAAGCAAAATAGAGCTCAAGTTATGTGCTGTGTAAGTAGAACATTAGTGTTTGAGTTATGACCACTATTGTGATGCTTTAGATTTTTGTTATTTACATAACATTATCTATTTTTCGCTAGTTCAAGCATGGATCAAAGTAGCGAAGGATGTACAAAAAAGATTAGCAGTATGAATATTGACAAACTTATAAAGGATTTTTCACAGATAGAAAAGGTATGTAAAGATAGCAAATGGTTATAGTATATTAAAAAATGGAACATTTTACCAGTGGAAGAAGTTGAGAAGAAAAATACAAAAAATAAGCAAGGTACAGATAATGAAATTATATTTTGCTAAGTTCTGTCTCATTTTTAAAGTCTGTATTTAAAATGTATCTGATTTTTTACTCGTTTGCACTAACACATCAAAATGTTTGTAGGGGAGGGGATCAAACAATTGTTGTACTTTGGTCAGAGTTAAAGGGAAAATATTTAAATGCCCAGTGTGTTAGAACTCATTTTAATACAAATTAAAGTAGACTAATCTTTCAATCTCCTGCCATTACAACTTTTTCCCCCTATTCTATCTATTCCCTTTTTCTTCTTTTTTGCCAGAAACTATTTGACATCCCTCTTCCTGACTCTGGACAAATAGTAGACCAAACCCCTAAGTATGTAATATGTTGGGTTTTTTCCCCCTCCTCTGCCAGAGAGAGGAATAGGAATAGGTGTTTGAAAAAAATGTAGGTGAATAAATTAAAGATTTGAGGCCAGGGATTTAGCTCAGTGGTGTGATGCCTGCCTCTCAAGTGCAAGGTCCTGAGTTTGACCCCTGGTACCAAAAAAAAAAAGATTTGAGGAGTGCATTAATGATATAGGAGTGTAAGAGAAGTAAGAACTGCCTATGTACTCCTATTCTTACTGTTCCTTTCTATTCAAATTGACATGATTAAAGAATTTTCATAATGATAGATTTTGGGGCTAACATCAAGAGCTTTTTTAGAACTATGATCTTGAGTTTTCCTAACTAAGGGATTTTCTTTTTTTGGTACCAAGGAATGAACTTGGGACCTTGCACTTTCGAAACAGGCTCTGAAACCACTGAGCTAAATCCTCAGCCCGGATTTTCTTAAGTAAGAGGAAGAAATGAGATGCACTGTTGATGAATAAATACTAGGTTTTATGAGAATTAATTTGGAAATATCTATCTTGTTCTTAATTTTTTTTTTTGAGGCAGCGTTTCACTATATAGTTCAGGCTGGCCTCAAACTCATGATGGTCCTCTAATCGCTCATTTTTTGATATGACCTCATGATCATATTTTGAGTCTGATGTCTTAGAGAATCATATAGGTGGTAATACTTAAAAGATGAAATAATCTGTCAGTTGCCTTGAGATGAAACCAGAAGTGGTGAGATTGGAGAAGTGGATAGAGGTATGGATAATTCAAGATTAGTCATGAATTGTTAATTTTTAAATTTACTTGAACAGTACCTGCTGACGTATATACCGAGACATGTTGAAGAATGTTTATTCCTTGTCTGTGATAGCAAAAACAATACAAATAAAACAAATTCTGTCCAATAGGGAACTAGTTAAGTAAATTACAACATATTCAAAAATTAAACTTGATACTGCTGTTAAAATGACGGATGTAGGGCTGGGGATTTAGCTCAGTGGCACCATGCCTGCCTCACAAGTGCAAGGTCCTGAGTTTGATCCCGGTACAAAAAAAAAAAAAGAATGATGTAGATATATATGTTGCTTATATGATACCATCTCCCAGGTAATAGTGCTAAATGGACAGCCAAAATGCGGGATACAGTAAATATGATCCTTTACTGTAATCATATAATCATAAAGTAGTTTGGGAGCATACTTAAGGAATTAATTATTTTGGGAGCATACATAGGAATTATGTTTTTTTGGTTTGTGTGTTGTGGTTTTTTGTTTTTTGCTTTTTGGTTTGGTTTTGTTTTCTGAGACAGGGTCTTACTATGTTGCCTAGGTGGTTTGTGTGCATGTGTGCGCGCGTGTGTGTGTGTGTGTGTGTGTGTGTGGTTTTTTGGGTTTTGGTTTTTGGTTTGGTTTGGTTTGGTTTTCTGAGAGAGGGTCTTACTATGTTGCCCAGGTGGCCACAAACTACTGGGCTCAAGAATTGTCCTGCCTCAACCACCTGAGTAGCTGGAACTACAGGCATGTACCACACCATCTAGCCAGGAATCAGTAACTATGAGAGTAAAGCCTGAATAGTTGGAAGAAAGTGGCTTTTTTTTAGCTTGCTAGATCATATTTTTGCTTTTCATCTATAATTGTTAGTCTGTTTTAATATTTTACCATATTCTTTCTTTTCAGTGCTGGGAAATAGACCCAAGACTTCATGCATGCTAGGCAAGCTCTCTACCACTGACCTGCATTCCCAGCCTTAGTTTAAAATCAAAAGTAAATAAGAAAGTTAGTTTATTTAAAATTACATGCTAGATATAACTATTAGATTTTCATGTGTTAAGTGATTTATATTCTCATTGGTCTTCATATCCTCAGTAAAAGAAATAAAATAGCAGCATTGATTTGGTGTTGATATATATTTTATTTCTTCTACAGAAAATGATAGAAACCAGTGGAAAGAATAACATACTGGAAATTCAGTTGGAAAAGTGTACCTCTTTATTAAAAGTAGTGCAAACAAAAGAAGCCTCAATTAAAAAAGGTTAGTTCTTTGCTTCCTGAAGAAATACTAATTCTAAGGAGAGTAGTTTTTAGTAAATTAACTAATATTGTGCCGTGCATTTGTCAAATGTTTTAAATTCACATAGAACTTTTCAGTCTATCATCTCGTTTTATCCTTAGTATTACTCTAAAAGAATAAGACTGGTATTTTTACCCAACTTCAGTAGGGGAAACAAAATAAAAGAAGTTAAATAATCTGTCTGAGGTTAGTCATCTAAGAAATGGCAAATTTCAAAACATAAGCCTATAAAACTATAGTGGGAAAGATTAAATTCCCTTCTATATGAAAATAAAAGTAAGATTAGTTGATAATTTTAGGACTAAAATTGAAGGTTTTACACATACATTTTCTTGCTAAGACAACTAGAGGGCGTAGAAGTAGCAATACCCCAGTATCAGTGAGATACCTAGTGCCCAAATCTTGGTGTCTAATACCAAACTTTATTAAAAAGAACTGGATGATTCTAGGACTGGGGCAAGAAATATATATAAACTTGAAGCATCACTAGTGCTAAAAAGTAAGAAAGTAAGGCTGGGGATTTCGTTCAGTGGCGCTGTGCCTGACTTGGAAGCACAAGGTCCTGAGTTTGATCTCCAGTACCGAGAAAAAGAGAGAGAGAGAGAGAGAGAGAGAGAGAAAGAAAGAGAGAGAGAGAGAAAGTGAGAGAGAGAGAGAAAGAAAGAAAGAAAGAAAGAGCCTCAAAAGAAAACACAAACCAACAATAATGACAGTATGTCAAAGGGGGCAAAGAAGTCAATTGAAAGAGCTTTCAGTATGCAAACCTGGAGCAAGTATGCAAACCTGGAACAAGTTGAGTAACAAAAAAAGTAGTGTTGAATTATAACCCAAAGTAGAAAGTAAAAATCTACAAATCCATTCTGATACCTATATGTAAATGAATTAATAAACAAATAGGAGAAAAGAGACAAAGGGTGAGGCTAGGGGAAAGTAGCTACACAGTAGGGAAACCAGACAAATATTACTGCAGCTACATGATCAAGATCAGCGTCAAAAGAGGAATCGTGTTGGTGTTATGTACCCTTAATATAATATAATGAAAATGATACTTTACCTCTATGGCCTTTCGCCCCATAATCTACAACACCAGTCTAATCGAGAGATAGACATCACACAAATTTTCTTGGAATGATTTGCAAAATACCAGGCTATTACTTGGCCATACTGTCACTCAACAAAAACAAGGAAAATGAGAATTGTCACAGCCATGAGAAGCCTAGGAAAAATGACAAATATATGTAACATGGTATGGTAGCTGAGATCCTAGAACAGAAAAAGGACATTGAGAAAAGCTAAGGAAATCTGAATAAAGTATAGATTTCAGCTAATAATAGTACATCAACATTGGTTCTTTATAACAAATGTACTGTTCTAATATAAGGTGCTATAATAATAATAGAGTTGACTGGGTATAGGATGTTTGGTAACTCTCTGTAATATTTTTCCATCTTTTTCTAAATCTAAAATTGTCCTAAAAAAATAAAGTTTATTAAAGGTTAAAAGATGAAACCACAAAAAGAAGAAAATATGAATTTTTATTTTTATAATTTAGAAGGCTTTCTAAGTGTGTGACACATGTAGAAACGATAAAAGATTTGTTAGTTTGAATTTTTAATTAATAGAATTTTTTGGAGTAGTTTTAGATTTATAGAAAAAATGAAAACACAGAGTACACATATATTCTCTCATCCCCTCCAATTTCCCTGTTATCAATATCTTACATTTGTGTGATACATTTGTTACAATTCATGGAGCATTTTTGAAACACTTTTTATTATGTAAAATCCATAGTTTACATTAGTGCTTAGTCTTTGTGTTATACATGGTGTGGGTTTTGACAAGTAAATATGACATGTGTCCACCATTGCAGTATATCATAATATTTCCATTGCTCTAAAAAAAATCCCCAATGTTATACTTATTCATCTTTCCTTCCCTCCATGCCCCTGAATCCTGGTCAATCACTTACATTTTTACTATAGTTTTTCCTTTTCCAGAATATCATATAGTTGGAATCATATAGTACCTATCCTTTTCAGATTGACTTCTTTCATTTAACAGAATACATTTAAGGTTCCTCCATATCATTTGTGGCTTAATAACAAAATTCTTTTATTGAATTATTATATGGAAGTAACACAATTTCTTTATTCATTCACCTACTGAAAGTATTTCATCCAACTTTTGGCCATTTTGAATAAAACTGCTGTCAACAAGCATGTACAGACTTTCATGTAGACAAAAGTTTCAACTCACTTGGGTAAACACTAAGGAATGCAATGGTTACATTACACAGTAAGAGTGATTAAGATGATAATTACATTAGTTTTGAGGACCAAATACTGTAGAAAATTCTTTTTTTTTTTTTTTTGGTACTGGGGATCGAACTCGGGTCCTTGCGCTTGCACAACAGGTGGCAAAACCCCTGAGCTAAATCCCCGGCCCTAGAAAATTCTTTAAATGTTTGTGTTACTCAGCTTTCCATTTCTGTTACAAATACCTGAGATTACTTAAAAAGAATAAAAGTTTTTTGGCATACAGTTTTGGAGGTTTTGGTTCATAACCAGTTGGCCCCTTTGCTTTTGGATTTTTGTTTGTTGGTTAGTTTTGTTGCTTTGTTTGGCTTTGTTTTTTAGCTTAGGGAGTTTAATTTTTTGTTTTGCTTTTTTTTTTGTTTGCATAGAGCAAACAAAAAAAGATTCTATGCTATTGTTTGCATAGCATAGAGTCTTGCTATGTTGCCCAGGGTGGTCTCAAACTTCGGAACTCAAGTGATCTTCCTGCCTCAGCCTCCCAAGTAACTGGGATCACACTCAGCTGGCCCAGGGTGTGCTGCTATACCCAGCTGGTCCTGTTGCTTTGAGTCTATAGCAGCATATCATGGTGAGTGTGCATGGCAGAGAAGGCCTACTCACCTCATGGCTGGGTGTGAAAGAGAAGAGACAAGGGTCACATTGGGGCATGCACCCAATGACTTAACTTCCTTCCACTAGGCCCCACCTTTTAAACATTCCACACAACCTCCCAGTAGTGTCACTGACGGGACCAAGCCTTTAACTCTGAGCTTTTGGGTGACATTTCAGGTCCAAACTATATTAGTGCTTTAATTGTACATAATATTTCTAACTACTCCACGATACTAATACCCAAATTGCTAGTTAATATCAGAGCCTAAATTTGAGTTCAAAATGATCATTTGTTTATTAAATTTTATAATAAATAGCTAAATATTATGAATTCTGGTTTTTAGGAAGAGTTTGATAGGACAGTATTCTTCAAATTACATAGTAAAATCCAACAGAAAAGACAAAGTAGATTAAGGTTTGCAAAGAAAATTAAAAGCCATTATTTTAAATTACCGAATGGTACTCAACTTAATGAAGAATTCCTTGTTGAGCCCATTTTCCCTGTAGAAAAAAGTGTAGTTAGGGAGCCATCTTGTGTTCAAATTTTGGATATACACTTTTTTATTAATGCATACCAGTAAGACAGAATAGTGATGTTTGTTTTGTATGTACGGTACATGAATATAACACACTTTGATCATTTTTCAACCTCATTATTCTTCTCTCCCTTTCATCTCTCCTGCACTGATCCTCTTCCCCATTTCTAAAAATCTACCTTCTGGTTTCCTGTCATCTCTCCTTAAAAAAAATACACATTTTTTTTTAGACAAATCTAATATACTTTGAATTGCAGGGTTGTTTTCAACTTGCCAATTACTGAGGTAACTTCACCTACCATATTTCATTCAATGCTAGATTCGTTATAATAAAAGACACAAAGACAAGTGACAGCAGGGACTATCTTTCCTTAATTTTTGAAACTATATCAGCTAGCACAAACCAGGTTCTCAGCTAATGTCTGTCAAATTAATTTTACATTCCATTCCTGGGAAACTTCAAAGTAGAAATAAGTAATGATGGTGAGATCTTTGGATGGATGGTGAGGACAGTAAGGAGAAGAAGGAGTGAAAGGCCACAGTAACTGAACCTAATATGTACATAAGACTTTTAACTTTTACAGCATACTTTCACTTCTAACAGTATAGATGAAGAAAGTACATGGAGACTGAGGGAGGAACTTCTAATCAAAAGGTGAATCACAATATTGATTCTTTCATTTGGCCAATAAACTATGTATTATTTTCAGGCCAGAGCTTTTCTACTTGGCCCTTTCCTGCTCAGACTTACAGTAATATTGCCTATCTCTACAATCACTCAACAAATATTTGTGGGTTACCTGCAATAGACAAGTCCTTTAAGAACTGGGGAGAAATGGTTGGCAATACAAAAACTAGTCCCTGCTTCTGTGGAACCTAAAGCTAGGCAGACTGCTGAAGTCACAGAATTTCTCACTGCTATTGCTCCACATCAGATGCATGGTTATTGCTAATGGTAACTAACAGTGTAATCAAGGTTTAAATGCACACATTAGGGCTTTAGTTTTTACAGCAAAGATTCTACCTCCTATTAGTAAGCTATTATGCTGGGTAAAGCTATCAATGAGTTTGTAGTAGTCACTTTCAATTTGCTGAGACAAATACCTAACACCCACACCTTAAAGGAGGAGAGGTTTATTTTGGTTCACAGTTACAATGGGGGTCAGCCGAAAGTCAGCTGGCTCTATGGCAGAAACAACATCATGTAAGGCTCTGCACCTTGGCAGCCAGGAGGTAGAGAGAAAAGGGAGGAGGTAGAGATAATGTCCCCTTCCAGGTGATGCCCCTGAATGACTCCCCTCTTACAACCAGGCCCTACCTCCCAACAGTACATTCAGCTAAGAACTCATCAGTAGATTTATCCAGTAATGAATATAGCACCACAATGATCCAATAATCTTCCAAAACCCCGCATCAGAACAAAGGAACCTTTGGTGGGGGGAGTTGTAATAAATATCATTGAGTTTTTAATCTTTTTGTTGCTAATCCCCCTCCCTGAAATTTGGGCATAAGTGTTAGGAAAACAAGCTGGAGGACAGTAAGAAAAACATCTTATACCACCTCTGGCCCTTTATCTTGAACAAAACAATGTGATTTGACTTACTTTTCCTAGGGTGTTTTTCATGGAAGCTTTGCATGGATACCCTCTTCATAATTTCCCAAGCAGGTCCTTGTGCACCTTACTTTCAGGACAGACATTACTAAGGCACATGGGAGAATCCTTACCATGCTGTGCCCTAGAAAACCCATTCCTAAATATTGCAATTCGCTTGACTTAAAGAGTAACTAAAACTATTTGTTAGCTAGGCACTGTGAGCACACTTATAATCCCAGTTACTTGGGAAGCTGAGGCAGGATGCTATTCTGAGCATCTTAGTGAGAACCTGCCTCAGAATAAAATAAATCAAAAAGATTTGGGGCTGGAGTTGTAGCTCAGGGGTAAAGTGCTTGTCTAACACATGTGAGGCCCTGGGTTCAATCCCCGGTACTACCAGGGGGGAAAGTACTATATAATTTATGTTTATGTCCGATATTACTTTTTTAATTATTTCAACTGAGAGAATAATTCCAAAATTAAAGCAAAGGCTTTTCAAATAAATTTATCCTATGTTTTAGAATGTGCTGCTCTTCATGATATGATAAAAGGGCTACAACAGACCATTGAATATCAACACAATTTGAGAGGTAAGTTGGAGAAGAAAACTAAGAAAGCATGATCTGTTTGAACATCTGTTAAAAAATAGCATTGTTTAACTTTGTTGACAAGCTCCTATTAATTGGGAATTGTTCAGTTCATCAGCTAATAGCAAGACTTCTTATTCCTTAAAAATATTTTTTGAAGATTGTGATATAAATGCTATGCTAAACAGAACAATTCTGTCACGTTCTATGTGACAAAAGAAATCAGATGTTTTATAGTAGATCATAACTGTTCTTTTATTACTTTTAAATGTTTAGAAGTATACAGTTGTCCCTCAGAATTAACTGGGGAATGTTTCCAGAACCATCATAGAAACCAAAAGTCTGTAGATACTCAGGTGGCTCATATAAAATAGCATAGTATTTGCATATAACCTATTTACTCCCCCTATACTTCAGATCACCTCTACACTACTTATAATACCTTACACAATGTAAATGCTATATAGTTAGAATGTGTTACTTAAGAAAAAATGACAAGAAAATAATATAGATGTGCAGTGCAGACACAATATTTTAAATATTTTTGATCCATGGTTGGTTGAGTCCAGGGGAACCCACACATACAAAGAGCTAGCTATTTACTGTCACTATCACTCTTGATTTTTTTTATAAACCTATATTCAGTTTTGAAAGACGACCATTTACTAGTTAAAACATGAGTGCTCTATTCAAGCCACAGTGATGATTTACCATTTAATTTTTTATCATTGACTAGAATTATATTTGTGCAAGTGAGGCCAACATATTTATCTTATCTCATTTTTAATAATTATCCTAACCCAATAAGCCTACCATTTGCAAAACAGCGACCAAGTGCTCTGTACTCTTCCTGATTGAGCTGTACAGTGGCTATAAGATTTCCTTTCCTCCACTATATCAGATATTAGACTAAATTGCCTTAAGGCTCTCTTTCAACATAAAATTCACATCAAGTAAGCATTTATCTTAGACCTCTTTTCATCCATAAATAAAGCACTTTACATATTTTAGTGAGGTGAAATATTGACCTTACATGTCATTTCTTTAATTTGGCGTGTTACTGTCTTTGTAGTTTTCTAGTTGAGGGTTATCTTAAATAATATTAGTTCTTACTTTCCTCCCATTTCTTCCCTAAAATGGAGGTCATCATGCCACCATCTCAAAGCTGAGGACCTTGAGCAACATTTCCCTTCTAGGTGACACCTACGTGGATTAAATAAATATGTGAAAGTTCATAATCTTTTTCAGGCCTCTTATTCCAGAAACCAAATGATATTTAGTTTAACTCCTCCAGGATTTTGTTCAAACAAATAACTAATATAAATTAAATACTTTGAAGTTCTATTAAAACAATTATGAATGTATTAAGCATTTTTTGTAAAAGATATCAAATAATGATCAGCCACGCATACCATCTTTTCACAGATTTGGTAGTACAAGGTTTTTTTTTTCTTTCCAATTTTATTGAGATAAAGTTGACAAAAATTATATATATTTAAGATGTAAAACTTGATGATTTGATTATAAATATATATTGTAAAATATTCACGTTATAGCTTTTGCCTAGATGTCCCCCTAAAACCTCATGCAGTCATTTGTGGGGCTTTTTGAAAGGTATATAAATCTAGAGTGTGTGATTGATTCTTGGTGCAATGCTAAGATTAAGAGTACTAGGATTAAGGGTAGGTGATTACTAAATCAGTCTGCTGATTGGTTTGGGACCGCCCTAATCCTGGTAGCCTTGATATAATATAAGGAACAGAAAGAGACTTGTCTTGCCCCTCTTTCTTGCTTTGCTATCTTCTGCCTGCCATGAACTGTTTCTCCTCTGCAATTCTTGTCTGCCATGCCACCCTGCCTTGGAGTCAGCTGATTATGGACTGAAACCTCTACAAACTGTGAGCTAAATAAACCTTTCCTTCTTTAACTTTGGGTGTCAGATATTTTGTCTCAGCAACAAGAGAAAAGTAACTAAGACAATTCACCACCAACATTAGTTAACAACCATTACCTCTCATCAATTCACCACCAACGTTAGTTAACAACCATTACCTCTCATAGTTACATATGTGGAAGAGGGGGTGAGAACACTTAAGATCTACCCTTTTAGCAAATTTCAAGTGTATAATATAGCAAATTTCAAGTATATATTATACACATTGTTATAATTCATATTATTGAACTTTAGACCTTTAAAACTTAATAACCTACTGTAACTGAAACTGGTACCTCTTGACCAAATACTCCACATATACAGCCTCTAGTAACTACTGTTCAACTTTCTATTTCTATAAGTTCAACTCTTTTGAACATATAATTCAAATCACACAGTATTTGTCTTTATGTGTCTGGTTTATTTCACTTGGCATGGTGTTCTCCAGGTTCATCCATGTCACAAATGGCAAGATATCCTCTCTTTCATTTCTTCTCTCTCTCTCTCTCTCTCTCTCTCTCTCTCTCTCTCTCTCTCTCTCTCTCGGTTATTCCTAGGGAGCAAACCTAAAACCTCAAGCATGCAAGCATGCTAAGGTTTACCACTGAACTCCATCTCCAGCCCTGATTTCCTTGTTTTTTAAGGCTGAAAAATATACTATTGAATATTTTGAGTAATATATATGTGTGTGTGTTACTGTCCTTGTAGTTTTCTAGTTGAGAGGTATCTTAAGAAATACAATTAGTTCTTACATTCCTCCCATTTCTTTTCTCTAAAATACAGGCCATCATGCTACCATCTCAAAGCTGAGAACTCTGAACAACTATGACACCTAGGTGGATTAAATAAATAGGTGAAATAAAGTTAGTTTGCCTATTTTAAAACTCAATGATTTCCTGTCCAGCAACTATTTTTTCTTCTTAATAAAAAGCTATTTTTTTTCTGAAATTAACCCATTGTTCACTTAACCATCTGCCTCAGGGGAAGCTAATTTTACCCCAGCTCCAAGGGAGGAAATTTTTCCTCTCCCCCAAAAGATGGACTCTGTTCTTCTGGTTGTTATGTGACTATACGTGGTGCTTGAAATTGTTTCAGACTTCTTGTTTTCATCCTAAAGATCACACCAGCCCTCAGGATGGCAGATGACACTAAAATAATTTAGTTTCTTAGTAACTTTATTGACCTTGTGAATCGATTTCCCTTGGTATTTGTGAGCCCTTTCAGTTACAGTGAGAGAAATGATAGCTCCTTTTATGCTCATCAGTCTTTTCAGTAGAAATTTATGGTTTGTATAAAAGATGATATATTCAGATATAGAAAAAGATTGAAAATCCTATTTACACTTATTTTTATCTGAAAACATCAAAGTAAATAAGCTTATAGAAATTTAATAGATGGAATAATATTCCTTGTTCTATAGGTAAGTTCATTATGTGTCATTCATCACACTCAAGTTTCTTCTAAAGTAGAGAATGAAGAGTTCTAAAACTGAGCAGTTGCATGTCCATCATTTCCTCCAGTATCAGTGTATGGGCCTGTAGTACAGTAGCTGGAATTTCCTCCTGACTCACAGCTCAGGTGATTCTCTTCATTTTTCCTGACTTTGAGCTGAACTAAGCTTTTCTTCCCCAGGTTCTCACAATATTTCAGATATACTTATGTTGTAGACATATAATCATGACATATTATAACTACTTATACATCTGTTTCACCACTAAACTGTATCCTTTTGTAAAGAACAATAACTTTGTGTTTCTACATTCCCAGTGCAGTGTGCTGGATGTATATTTGTTGAATACGTACATGAAAGGAAGCTACAATGTTCAATATATTGACATACTAATTAAAAATACTATAAATTTGGTTGTTCTTTGATGATTTTTACACAGGTGAAAATGAACAACTAAAAAGAAATGCTGATATGACAAGGGAAAACCTGAAATCTCACAAACAGGTGAATTTATGTATAACTGTATTCAATTAGGTCTTTGTAGGACATTTGTTTATTCAAATTAGAGAAAACAGGTTGTTCTTATTAATAAACACAACCAAAATTTGTATGTGGATATAATATATATCTATATTTTTATGTGTTAAAATTTTTAATACGTGAAAACTTCAAAAGTAATACAAGTTTTGAGAATCCTAGTCTTTTTTTAAAATTAGGGCATATTTGCAGTACATAATGTTTACATTTCTTGCATGGAGTTGGTAAATGTATGCAACACATGTTAATTCCTTTCTTTTGTCTCCTTTCCCTTCCCTCCTCATCTCTTAATCCCCTTCCCATTTAAGAAAGACCTATCTCCTTACTTCCTATTATCTATCTTCTATTTTTCTCTTTATTTTTATTTATTTATTTTGGGGGGGTACCAGGGATCGAACTCGTGACCTTGAGCTTGTGAGGCAGGTGCTGGAACCACTGAGCTAAATCCCCGGTCCTTGCTCTTTATTTTGACTTTAGGTTTCTAATATAAGAGAAATCATGTTATATTTAACCTTGTGTGTCTGATTTACTTCATTTAATGTAATGGTCTCGGGGTGCATCCATTTTCCTACAGATGACTCAAATTTATTTTTCTTTATGATAGAGTAGGACTCTATTGTCTAAATGTGTCTAAATGCCACATTTTCTTTATCCATTTATCTATTAATGGACATACAGGCCACTTCCAAGATTTAGCTGTTATAAATTGTGCTGTGTTATGGCTTGTATCTAAATGTCCCCCTAAAGCCTCATGCAGTCATAGATGGGGCTTTTTGGAGGTGGCTGGTGCTAGAGTGTGTGATGTTGGGATGAAGGATGTGATGCTGGGATTGATTCTTGGTGTCATGCTAGGATTCTTGGTGTCATGCTTGATGTCATATCTGAGTGTGAGTGCTATCCACCCTAAAGGTAAGTAGCCTGGATAAAACATAAGGGACAGAAAGAGGGCTGCTGTTGTCTCTTTCTACTTGTAACTTGTTGCTTGGTGCTTTTGCTACCTCCTGCTTTCTGCCTTCCACGTCATGAACTATTTCTCATTTGCTATGCCCCTCTGCCATGCCATCCTGCTTTGAGGCCAGCCAACTATGAACTGAAACCTCTACAAATCATGAGCCTAAATAAACCTTTCTTCCTTTAACTTTGGGTGTCAGGTATTTTGTTCAGCAATGAGAAAAGTAACTAAGACATGCTGCTATAAGCAAGGGTATCCATTTGCCACTGAAATATGATGTTTTTAACAGTAAATTTTTTCAAAATAGAATATACTAATATATCATTTGCATTTACTTTTTCTTCCTACCTAAAAGAGCCCCAGTTATTTTGCTGCACTTTTTAATTGTGCTAATAGTGTTTTTATGCTAGTGTATATTTTTGAACTTTTTAAATACGAAGTAAATGAGTCTGTAATTCTTTTGATATGGGTAATCATTATATCATCCACATTTTATGTGGATCACAAATTAATTCTCTCCCAATGGCCACCATACCCTCTTCTGCATTTTCTTCTCTCCTATAGGAACAATACAATGATAGCAATTGCAGAACATGTAACACAGTGCCTAAAAAAACAAAAAGTACTGGGGCCAGGGATTTAGCTCAGTGGTTTCACCGCCTGCTGCACAAGTGCAAGGAACTGAGTTCGATCCCTGGTACCAAAAAAAAAAGCCCCCATCTTGCCTAAGAAATATGAAAAACAAAAAGTACTTACTAATTGTCAGGTCCCTCCTCTCTTCCCTTTGGGAGGTTTATTATACTAACCTTTTATTATCTCCCAAGAGCCAATATATCAAAATCTGGCAGATCTAAGAACTCCAAAACTCAGATTGGATCTGTAACAGCCTTTAACTTGAAGGATCTCTAAATTCAGTATGATTCCTCATGTAAGGTGCCCTTGAAAGAAATAAACTAATTCTAGGAACCAGCCCAGGACTTGGGAGTAACATTTTCCAATCATGAGATGAATTCTGGCTGTGTGCTTGGAAAAATTTAGCTTTTCATCATCAATTTTGAGGTAGTTTAAGTATCTCTGGGTTGTACAACACGCTTTTTTCCTTCCTTTCCCTCCTTCCTTTATTCTTTCCTGAATCCATCCCTTTCTTGGCTCTAGAGCCTGGGTCACACTGAGGGAAGAGAAATTGTCTTGGGCCACATATAAAATATGTAATGTAGTTAATGTGTGCAGGTAACATAACTTCCTTTATTTTTTATATTTTAACTTTTTATGAAATAACAAGCCCAAGTTTAAGTAAGAAAATTACATATCTGCTTAATTACAATAAGTACCTGTCTTCACAAGCACACACACACATAAATAGGTTGAAATACTATTGCTAGTAATTGCTACATTTCACTCACCAAGCCACATAAGTGCATGTAACCTTTGATACACAGATTTCATTACACTGACTGTGTGTAATGGGCTCAAGAGTTGGAATTAGCACTGCACTGCAGGCTCTCCTGTGCAGCATTCAGTTGCACCAGTTTCACAGGCTTAGCTCCAGCATTGCATAATCCAGTCACAAAAATATTACTGAAGTTCACATAATAATGTTAAAAGTTTATGATCTCATGGGACCATATTAATAGTGTCCAGGCCCATGTGGCCAGTGTCATGGTTTGGACATCCTTGCCTTAGAGCTTAATAATAGACAACCAAGTCAGGTTGTAATTGGCACAAGGAGAAAATCTGACCTCTTTTCCCTTCTAAAACTTCAGGCTTTAGAGTACTGCTTTGTCTGAAATACTATAGGAATGTTCAGAGAGGTGGAAAATAAAGAGAATACACCACACACTAAGATTCTGAATTTCTTAATCAGCTGCCATCCAATACAAACTAAAAATTTACCTTGAACAATGAGAATTGGCTAATACAAAACCTCTAGGCACAACCAACATTCATGGAGAACCACTCTCTAGAAGCAAACTCTGTAGGTTCTTAATGGTAATATTTGTGGTGCTTGGAGGATTTTTATAATGTAAACTTAGAAAATCCTTAAGTTTTATAAAAAGAATACAGGCAGAGACTATCCCTTGAAATTTAACATTCCCAGAAAACAAATGAGAAAATAAAAGCAACCAACTGTAATTTATTTGTGCTTGGTCCCCTTAGAAAAAAAAGAAGGAATTAAATCCATTAGTTGAGACTAGCACAGGCTTAAGTGAGGGAGAAGAACATACTGATACAATCTAGCTTCACCCAGACATTAGGATAACCTTATGCCTGGAGGCTGGAGTGAAAAATCAGTCTTAACCACCACTTTAGTTGTGGCATCTTCAGGTGACAAAGTCAGTGGAGATGGAAAGGTACACAAAATTTTCTCTTATAGTCCCTCAAAGAAGCAATGATTTGGTTTATTAGTGTAGTTTTTAGAAACCACACTCTGGCTTTTCTAAATGACTATCTAGAAACCTAGAAACACATATAATGGAAAATGGCAACTACTGCCATTCACTCTGTTATTCATCTGCTCACCTTTAATCAGAGCCAAGGAGTTAGATAGGGTTGGCCATTCCTACAATTGAATGGCAAGATAAGTAACACAAATAGGAATCTGGAGAGAAGGTGAGCCAGTGGCAGCACCCAGAAGGAAGCTCTCCTGCCACCATCCCATGCTCCTAGGGCAGAGAAGGGCAGAGAAGGTGAGCTGGTCCCAGCACCCGGAAGGAAGCTCTCCTGCCGCCATCCCACGCTCCTAGGGCAGAGAAGGTGAGCCAGTCCCAGCACCCGGAAGGAAGCTCCCCCACTGCCATCCCATGCTCCTAGGGCAGAGAAGTTGAGCCGGTCCCAACACCCGAAAGGAAGCTCCCTTGCCACCATCCCACACTCCTAGGGCAGAGAAGGTGAGCCACGCAGGCACCAGAAGCACGCCCCCCCCGCCCCGAGGAAATGAGAAGACACATAAACAAGCCTGAAAAACAGACTTCCGGATCACCTACAGCAACCCCAAAGGGAAACGAGATGGAACAATCTGATACTCAACCACCTGGACTC